TTGGGGGTGCCCTTCCTTGCCCAGCGGGGGAAATGCCTTACTTGGACAGCTCGGGCTCACATTTTCCAGCACTTTGTCTTCTGTAAGAAATGGAGAAAGACGCTGTGGGTTTTTCCTGTCTTCCGATGGGCCCTAGTGTCTTACAGGGAGGACCTTTGCATGCACAGGGCTTTGCTCTTTTAGGAGGACTCAGGTTCTGGAGAACCTGCTCCCCAGGCCCTCCTTCCCCTGCCCCCACTCCTACCCCCATCCTGGGGCCTGCGGATCCCCCCCACCTGCCCTGGCCCCCTGGCCCTCCATTGTGACTGCCCTCCATCTGACCCAGGTTCAAGCTGCCACTGGCATTTGCCCTCTCTGGCTGGACTCCGGGACACCCCGACGACACTGCGCCCCAGCGGGCCGGTGGCGGCCGCCTCACTCACCTGCCCGGGTGCTGGCTGCCACGAGCAGCAGCAGCGCTAGCAGCGCGGGGCCTGGCGGGCCCATGGCCACCCTGGGTCGGCTCCCTCCTTGCGTCTCGCTGGCTAGGCCTGGTGTCACTACTCTTGCTGGCTCCACAAGCAGGGGTACACACAGGCAGCCTCTCCGCGCGAATGCGCGCCCCGAGTCCGCACCCTATTTATATGAGGCCACCCGCCCAGGGCCAGGCAGCCCGCCTTAGAGTGCGTCCAGCGAATTGCAAAAGGTCCAAAGGGCAGCTTCCCGGCCTGTTTGCTTTTCCAGACTGGGCTCTTCTCTGAGCCTGAGGAGGGGCTGGCGAGGGCCACACCTGGCCTTTCCCCTGGTTGGCCTGTCCTTTCGTGGGGGGTCTCAGAGGGTGAGGCCATGGGGACAGTGGGCTGGTCACCCGAGAAGCCTGCCCAACCCATTAGTGCCTGCAGATGACCAGGCACCTGGACATAACCCAGCCCTGCTCCCTGCTCCCACTTTGTAGCCCTTTGGAGAGCCAGCCCTTCTCAGTGTCTTGGTGGACACATTTTCCTCTCAGTTCCTTCTCATTTGGGTGGATTTTGGGTTCACATGGGCACCCCTAATCTTGGTCTCTACCTGTGGCTGGCGTTATCTGCTCTGGATTCAGCGCATGCGGAGGGAGCAGAGAATAGGGGCAGGAGGGAGGTCTGGTGAGTGACTGAGCCAAGTCACCCTGAGGGACAGTGAAGTCACAGGCACAGCAGGAGCCGGTTGTCCCTGCTGGCAGAGCGGGGGCCGAGGGGGCAGTGAAGGGGGACTGTAGACTAAGGAATACCTGAAGCGTCTGCTGTTACGATTTATTTATGTGCTATATCCAGATGTCACCAATAACTATGCAGTCCTTTAAGTCTTCTGGAGGCAAAACTGATGGTTCCAGGAGGCTCATGTTCCGAAGGAGGTATAGTGAACAAAGACCATGCTGTGTGCCCCCTCCCCAGCCTTTGGGCTCCACACTTCTTATTCACGTACAATATTGTTGTTTTTAACACAAAGCCCCTGTGAGCAGTTAAACTCCCCTCAGGGGTCGGTTGCTTTGCACCCACAGTATATGAATATCCTAAAAGGGGGATATCACAGAGGCCTCAGCCCAAGGCTGGCCTAGCCTACACCACTGAACTCTGGAGGTGCTGGAAAAATGAATTGCTCCAAAATGCCATTTCTCTGAGAATTAAAAAAAAATTTTATTTTTAATTTTACTTTTCACTTACAGTTTCCATTCAGTATTATTAGTTTCACTTTAGGGAGAACGGGTGAGGACACTCGGTCCCAAAGAAACCAGACAGAGGTGGCTAACTCCAATTTACCAGCGGGAGTCCGGGCTCCCTTGGCCAGGTGACAGATAAAGTCCCTGTCCTAGAGTCAGCGGCGAGAGAAAACATGATTTTTACCATCTGGGAATCAAAAATGAGTCTGATAACTTGGATGCAGGGAAAACCCGTGGGGTGTTTGGATGGCCCCGAGCTGACTGTCGTCATCGTGAAAGGAGAAAGCCTGAGACTGGGGTCAGCTTCTCTTTCCCTGGTTTCCTCTGAAAGCCTGTGGGTGCTGGGCCTCCACACCCCTTCTCTGCCAGGGTCAAGCGCACCATCCCCACAGAGCAACAGGTTGAACTATTGAGTTGACTTGAGCAGACTCACAAAAGTACTCAAAGGATTAGTGCATAGATTTTTTTTCTTAAATTACAAAATCCACTCAGACCCTTTTTCAAAAGCCGTGTGAAAATATAGTTTTATTTGTGACCACAGAAATCACCCTTCATCCCTTCCCTTTAAGTGGAACATCTCTCAGTTCTCTGTCCTCAAAATGTTTTATGTTTCAGAAGAATACAGACCAGTTTTCATAGAGACATCAAGTAGAAGGAAGAGTCAGGAAACCCTCCCATATAAGTTACTCATTGAACAGAGAACATACCAGTCCGGAGAGGTCAGCTTTATGTAAAGGAAACCAGTGTGAGTATCAGACTCAAGAAGAGTCTAATTGAGTCCTAGCTGGGTTTCCTGTGAGATTTGGAACCTTGGGCTAGTGACTTCACCAGCCTAGGCCTCTGTTTTGTCATCTCTAAAACAGGATTAAAAATATCTATCTTCCTCATAGGCATTTTTGAGAGAATTAAATGAAATAATTATGTAAATAATTGCATTGATAGCATGATGTCCTGCTAATAAAAGATCCTCAATAAATGGTAACTGTTACCACTTATTACGTGTGTGTTGGCGTGAAAAGGCATTTGTAGGGTACCTGTTTGAGCTGGCTGACCATAGGGTGTATGGAAACAGGTTAATAGGACAGAGAGAGGAAATCAGGGCTGAGGAAGGGATGGGGCATTTGGGAGGGCTGTGAATGGCTGTGCCGGGCGTCTGTTTCTCTAGTGATTCCTGACGTTTCTGGGTATTTGAAATCACTGTTCTCTTGGGGAGAAAGGAGGCCTCGCCACAGCAGGCAGATGAATGACTAGCAGAGACACATTCTGGTGTCACAAAGATTAATCTCAGCCAGTGGCCGTGACTTATCAGCTCATGAATGCGAAGTCCCATGGGGTGAACCGTCACTCTGAGTAATCACAGAGCTCTGGGTACGCATTAGAAAGCAGCCTGACTGGGGAATTTCAAGGAATTAGATAATGTGGAATATACCAGTGATGGCCGCCAGAAGTGAAACTGTGTTCTGTTTATCTGCAGGTGACCAGAAGGGTCCTGGCCAGCCTAGGGAACTGTGGAATCTATTAAAGGCCCCTCAGAAGCCCACTGTTCTGAGTTTAGTGTAGTTCACACATTGAAATAAGTGTTCAGTACATAATTTGGTGAATACAAATGAATGAATCTGTGTCATTCATGTACCCCATTGCTACCAGGATATTTATGCACAGTGACCATGACGCTAAATACAAGAATATACAATTTGATATAAATCACTTCCAGCTATGCTGTTCAAGAAAACTCATTTGGCAAATAGGGGCCAATATTGACAATGGTTAATTAGTCTATCTCTTTTCTGCCTACGAAAGCATTATAATTGCAAATGATGCCCCGAAGGTGGAAATCTCGTAAACTTCAAGAATTGTAGATGGAACTATGCCCAGTGTGGTCTGTACATGCCAATGACACACACACACACACACACACACACAAATGAGAAATGTTAAGGAAAAAATAGGGCATTTAGGTGAATGGCACAGGTGGGAGATGGTGGAATGGGCCAGTGTCAACCAAATGGAGAGATTGCCGATGGGCGATGAACTGCCTGTGGGGAGGCAAAGAGAAACTTCCCTCTGCTGTCGTTCTGCTAGCCGAGAGGTAAGGTCAGAATGTGGAGCAGCAGTTCCCTCAGGGGAAAGAGGTCGGCAGTCGGCCCTGTTCCATGGGTATGAAGCACCACTTCCTTGGCGAGGCAGAGCTCATCCATCTACCTTTCCAGGGCTGGCGGGCTCCAGCCCCACCTACTTTCAGGAGCCTTTCCCTGGGTCCAGCCAGTTAGACCGCTTGGCTTCTGACCCCCATCTCCTATCAGTTTCTATACAGGCCAATGGATCCCAAAGGGCCTTCGTGCAAACTGTCTATTGTTGCCCTGAACTTATATTTTTCTTTGGTAATATGATTCAATTTTTCACCTGTTTACATATTACCTTGCCAACTAGAGAGAGAAGCTGGAGGGCAGGACCTGTGTGCAGTTTTCACCTTCGAATCCCTCTCCCCTCTCTCTCACCAACTATTGGTCCAGGTGAGGCCGATAGTAGCTAAGGGGTAAATACTGTGATTTTATACACTTTTTTTTATTCTTTGATGCTGCTGCATATGTTTATAGCTTAATGTAGATTGTACGGTGAACGTGAATCAGCATGACAGGAGGCAAGGTCTATAAACTGGGACCATGGGACAGTCTCTAAGACTCTGAGTGTGAGGAGTGGACAGCACCAGATGACCTCGTAGGCCATTGTAGCTCTGGCTACTTTGATTCTATGAGGACTTGGCAATTTTTAAAAAATGCATAAATTAAATGGGGCTCAAGCCTCATGGCAATTAGGGCCTGAGGATTCAGAATCATTAAGCGGGATGGGTTTCCTGGGCGGTGACCTACCTCTGCAAAGACTTACGCTCACACTGCCTGAGAAATAGAGCGCTTCGCTCATTTAAAACAGATTTCCAAGTAAGAAGAGGGAAGCCCTCCTGGGGGTGCGAGGAACTCTCAGGAAGTTCTTTCTCGTGTCTGGCTTCAGCCTTCATCCTTGCCTTGACCTGAGATGGTTCCCTCTTAGCTTTTCCTTTGACAGGCTTTTTGCTTGTTGACTTTTGTCAGTTACTCTTGACCCATTTTGGTTTTTAGTTTTCTTTTTGTTCTTGTAAGACTAAGAACCAGACAGCACTACCCTCAAAGGCTGAGACCAGTGATCAAGATAAAGAGAGAGCTGGCCAGATCAGCAGGCCCTGCCATTCCCACAACCGCTGATTCTCTTAAAGGATTTAGGGAGCCCCTGAGCCCTCTGCCCTCTGAGAGCTTACTGATAAGGAGAATGGCATGAATACATATCACAGCTAGCAATGAGTGTACAGAAAGTGCCCGGGGTGGTGTCTACACAGCTAGACTGCAGTGGTCTCACGTGATCTCTGGGGTCCCGGAGGAGGTGAGACATGAGCAGGATCTTGGTTGATGGGCAGGATTTGGGGAACTGGGTTGGTGGCACCACTGAAGAGCAATGGCAGGAAGCTGAGACTGTGTTTGACATGTCTGACAGCCTGTAACCCAGCCAGCCAGCCAAGTCTGTGGACATGGAAAAGGTGAAGAAATGTGGAATAAGAGAACTTGGAGGGAGCATGGTTTGCTGTGCCTGGGCTGGGGACCCAGCTTTCTGGCTCACTCAGTCTTTGATTTAACTATGGGCTACTATATAAACTGCACATTGTATATTCAGCATTAAATTTAGTACACTTGGCATTAAAACTCTAGGTTGTATAGAAGGCCATGCGTATTGGGCTGAGCTCTGTTGGTCCAGAGCTGTGAAGGGAAATGAAGGAGGAACA